TCGTTCGAAGTTGATTTCAAAAGTTAATAACAATTTTTCGCTAATATCTCGAAAACAAAAGCTTTCCGCGAAATTTGTATAGAAACAAAATTGTTCAGAATCATGTCCGTGATAAGATATTAAGAGCGCACTAAAATCGAAAAAAGTTTATTTAAAAAGTTGCCGGTTGTTTTGCAATAACAATACTTTGTAATTAAAAAATGAAAAATTTTTTGATAATGGTACCAATGGGGAGTCAAAACCTACCAGATGCAAAAGGTTTCGTTCCGATCGGTCCACCCAGCTAGGCGTAATCGGCGAGCATACAGCATACATAGAAGAAAAAAAAAAAATATACTGATTGAATTGAGTAACCTCCTCCTTTTTCGAAGTCGGTTAAAAAGTAGAGTCATTTCAACATTATTGCCTTGATACTGCAAAAAATTTGTTCATTTATATCCATAGTACAACATGCCTACCACTGTTCATAAAGTATTAATGCATTGCAAAGACATAATAAATTTTGCACTTCTTCCAATTTGGCAGTTGGGAGAAAAGGCGCACGAATCCCGAAACAAAGATATAAAACGATATAGAGAAAGTTATTCGCGAAAATTTTGTAGAATTAAAAACATGGAGGATATTATTCATAATTTGTTAGTATCTTCCGATCCATATGTAACTAACTTGAGAAAGTTAACTGTTAAAAAAACAGAAACATATCCAAAAACTGTCAGTCAATTCTTTAATATTCCTGATACAGAAAATTCGAAATGGAGCAGCGGTACGGCCAATATTTTGACAAGGTATGGGAAGACATGTTCTTTGCTGATATCAACAAAGATATTATTTGTCTTCTGTGCGGCTATAAGCCTAGCATCGTGAAAAAGTATATTTTGGTTCGACATTATAAAAATAAGCATTCGCATGAATATTCGAACTATGCGAGTAGTGATAAATTCAATTTAATCGAAGGATTGAAACTAGTTTACCAAGAAGGTTCAAATTCTACTGAAGAAGGTTCTACTTCAAATTTCAAAACTTCAACTTTATCAGAAAAAGCTCCTAGAGCTTCGTATGCAATTCCAAATTTAATCGCAAAAAATTTAAAACCATTTTCGGAAGGAACATTTATAAAGGAATACCTTATCGCAGCAGTAAAGTCATTTGGGGATTCATTGATCCTTGAACAAGCTGCTGCCACTCCTTTGAGCGCTCATCCTTAGAAAATAAATTAAAGTCGCTCTTGTGATCATGTGCCTTTTTTCACTATGTTTAGATGAAAGCACCGATAATCGACATGTGAATCAATTGAGTATTTTTACTCGAATCGTGCAAAACGATTTTTCACATGTCGAGGAGCTTTTAGACATGTCGAGGAGCTTTTATTAGATTTCGTCCCGTTGCATTCCAGAACAACGGGACTTGATATTTTTAAAGCTGTGGAACAAACTTTAATCCACTTCAATGTGAATTTGATAAAATGTTCAGCGATCGTTACCGATGGCGCGAATGCAATGATTGGCAAAAAAAATGGATTTTTCGGTCAAATGAAGCAGCGATGTCATTCATTGCATAATTCATCAAGAAGCGTTATGGAGGAAAATTGTCAAACTATCAACGGCGATGCAAACCGTTGCAAAAATTATTAATATCATTAAAAGTGGCCAAAAATTTCCAAGTCATAGAAAGTTTCAGCAATTTTTCCAAGAGCATTATTGTTAAGAGCGCCGTTAGGTTACAACCAGGAAGGGTCTTTTTCCCAATTTCTAATTTTTATATTCACGCTTGTCAAGGAAAAAACCTAAATTATGGTCCGCTTTAAAATCTAATTACTTCCCTCTCATAAACCACACCATAAACCATCGGCAAAATTTGTCACTACCTGCACGCCAACTTGGGTTTTTCCAAAACATGTACCCCGAGGAAAGGGAAGAACAACCCCCGCATTACCAAAAACAGATGATTGGACAACGATTTTTCCCACCTGAGTTTTTAGTCCTTACCTCCGAATACACGCCTACATCCAAAAATTAATAAAAAGACCAGCACGATAGTTTTAAGACAGAATTCTTGTAACATTTCAAAGCAACACACTAAGTAAATAAATCACCACGTAGAAAGGCAAAGTTAGCATTTGCTACATTATTTAAAAATTCCGTACAACAGTACAAACGAATTTAACAATTATGCAACATAAACAGATGTGCCCCTACATTGCGAAGTTCGGTGGCTTAGTGCAGGAAAGTGCTTAGAAAAATTCTTTACAATAAGAAAAGAGATCTTCCTTTTCTTGCAAGAAAATTTTATCGATAAATATAAACAATTTAAGTCTTTGCTCGAGGATGTATACTCGCTTTGTGAGCTTGCGCTCATAACAGATATGACAAGCCATTTAAATATTTTAAATTTAAAGCTGCAAAAGACTAACCAGGTTATTTCTCAATTAGTTAGTCACGTCGATTCCTTTCATAGAAAATTACGATTATTTAAATGCCAATTAAAAACTAAAATTTTTTACTTTTTTCCTTCTTATAAGATTATCTTCGAAGAATACGACACACATTGCGATTTTAAATGACATTTAAGTGTTATTGATTCTTTAATAAGTCAATTTGATACGCGTTTCAGTGACTTCGAAACGCTTAGGAATGACTTAATTCTTTTCGAAAATCCCCTTACGGTTCCAACTGAAAAACGAAGTCGAGAATTGCAGGCAAAACTTATGCTTGCAAAATGATATTTCTTTAAAAGCGCAATTCGAAAAAAGGGTCGAGCTTTTTAATACTTTAGATAATTCTCATTATCCGTTACTTCGACTTTTTGATCTTCGAATTTTTTCGAAGTTTAGTTCAACGTATTTATGCGAATGCTCATTTTCTAAAATGAAAAATATAAAATTTGAAAAAAGGTCTTGTCTCTCAGATAATTCGGTATCATCGTTGATACGAACGAATTCTTCTGAATTGTCTGTGGATATATCATCCCTCGTAGAATCGTGCAAACGACCCAGAAGATCAAAGAACAATTAAAATATTTACGACTTTGACTTTCCTGCCAAGTCGCCTCGTTTGACACGAAAATACTGGTAGAGGAGGGAATCGAATTGCGTCTGTACTCTAAATCTCGCGGAAACTGGCGAGACCCGTTTGCAACATAGACGTATAGTTGTCACCGTATTGGCGACCCTGTCGATCGATTACAAATTCTGAGACACTCTGTATAAGTGTAAGAGTCCATGAAGCACTAACTTCTGAGAAATTGTGAAGGTTATAATGTCAAATGTATCGTGTGCGTGATGCAATGAGTATGTGCAAACGTTTCTAACAAACGTTGGAAATCTGACTAAGTTTATGGTGTCACAATTAAAACACATTTAAAATCAACCATTTGAAAGGTTTGTAACGGTGCTGCTTATATATATGCAAACACACCTTGTATACTTGACTATATAGACGGCACGGGCTAATCTACTACCCGGAGAATCCATGATCCTTGTCGCGGGGTAAGAATTTAGGATATTTGCCCTACTTAGGGTAATTATGCGTGCGCATTGATCCCCTCTCGGTAGCTATCGAAGGAGATCGCTGCGAGTATCATAGCTGACACTATTCTTCTGGAAGCGAATTTACGCACACAGACGGGTCAAGAAGTACTGTTTCATCATGTTGCCCCGCCAACGCTAAAGAGCATAGAGGCGAGGAAGTGAACTCCTGCGAAGAGCGTGCGGTATCAGCGAAGGTTGGCTACTCAAGCAAGGACTAAGCATATCAATCAACGAAGACAGACTCCGTTGGAAGTTCCGAATACGGACTGGCCAATGAAGATAATCTGATATGGAACGGAAGCCAACACCTCATACGGGATCATCCTCGACGCCAAGCCGGGATATAGAGGACTCAAAATTATCCTACAAAGTAATCGCCGAAGTGGATCCAGCGATTGAAGTATCAGCTTTATATTCACAGGACCCCTTGAATTTACTATCATTACTGAAGCAGGCAACCGACGCCCTTTTCGAGTAAACAAAAAAAAGAGAGAAGAAAAGAAAACAAAAGTTCAGTGCTTTTATTTTGTTTTGTAATTTAAAGAAAAACGGAAAAGAATGACATTTTAGTTTATTAAGTGTTTTTTCCCTCAAGAGTAGGCCATTTAATTTTCATAAAAATAAATGTAAAATAATGTGTCGCAGCGTGTTGTGTTTCTCTCTTTCTCGCAAGATATGACCTAAACAGCCATCTAGTGATAGAGGATAAAAACTAATAAAACAACATTTTTATAACAACTGTGTACCAAATTGATTGTTTTTGAATCACTAATTCATATAAAACATTTATAGCCATTTATCATGGCTGTTTGAAGAATGATAAATTTCTACTGTCGAATAAAGCGAAAAGGTCAAAATTTCCTATAACAATGTATTTAAAATTTACTTCCATTAGATCCCATCTTTCACCACTATATATGTGAACATTTTATTGCATGAAATGCAATATGGTCAAGTATGGAGATTGAGGAGAGAGGTTGATTTATATGCGTGACAAAGTGAAATAATATTAAATAACATCCTTTTGCAAAAAATGATACGAATCAGTAGTTTGAATAGTTTGTTATAGGATCATTGGAATAGTGTTAGGAGAAAACTTCAAGAACAGAGGGAAGCGAATTAGTATTCCACTTAAGTCTACTTGCTATGGTCAAACGTAACCAAGCCGTTCCTTCCTTGTAGGCTCAGACCATGTTTACAAACACCTATCTAATCAAAGGTCGTAAATCCATATTTAAAGAGTTTGAGACCCAAATACGCCGAATGCGGGGTTAGAGAATGGTTAGAGACACAACCTTCAGAAACTATTGAACCGATAAATCAGGACAAAGAAATAGGTGAACAGTACTTATGTGATTACAATTTCATGATTAAATCTACAGTTAAACCGCAATTTAATCATAACGCTTCATATACTTATAACACTTTACAAACTATATCAAGACAAAAATATCAACGCGATATTTTCACCCATTTTTCGTGAAAGGTAACCGTATTATATATGTACAGAGTGTTCGGCTAGTGGTAGGCATAATTTCAAGAGGTGGTAGCTGAGGTGATACTGAACAATTTTTTTCTATACCAAAATGTTGACTGAAGCTTAGTTTATGAATTATTAACGTAAAACAGTGATCAATCAGAACGCGAGAATAACACACGCTTGGGCGCAAGAGCGACAGCTTGGAGCCTGATGGCATAACATGATCGTGAACAAGCGCTCTTACGATGAGACAGTCCAAACGTTTAATAAGAAATCCTTAGGTTAAAATTTAGTTAAATAATGTACGGAAAAATAACATTCGCTTATTCATTTTTCATGAAGAAAGAACAGAATTAATTATGTGTAATAGAACGATACCGTTCAAATGAAATTTCATGAATACTGGCATTCACCATTTACAAAGCATGTGAAATAGAGTATAGAAAATTATTTGTTATTTGTCAAAATGATATTAATCAACAAACTTACACATTTTAATAGAAACATAATTATTTTGTTCAAAAAAAGAAGGGTTAAAATGTAATAGTTAATAAATGTATTAACCAGTGTATACTTGGACATGTTCCGTGCCACGGCAATTTTTGAAGATTTTCCAATCACTCCGCGTGGGCTTTAAAGATTAAAAAAAGTCGTTTAAGACGTATGCCTTACACTTTTTCAGTACTACAAAGCTATAATTAGCAGGAAAAAGATATAAATTTTAATATGTATTAGACAACAAAGCGATAAATTTAATTTTTAAGGAATTTTTTAAGAAATCTTTGTTTTTCAATGAGAATTCTAAATGGCCTGAACCGAAAGTACAGCGTGGGTCGTATACACCCCACATGGCAAGGAACGTGTTAAATTTGCAGGAAATCCATAAACAATTATAATAAGACTCACCCATAATTTGAAAATAATCCGGCTTCAGTTAAAGTGATTAGGATCTTACCATTGGATTGTATCATCGATCTTAATCTTCCCTAGAATATATAGCTACCACACAGCAGCTGATGGCACTCACAGGTCACTTTCACTGTCTACACTTTACATTCATTTATTTCATTTATTGTTTTAATTTATAGAATTGAATATATAGAAGGTGATATTTTTTTAAAAATAGGATCATTTTCACTGTCACTTGCAGGCAGATATGTGTGGCTCCAAAAGGGGCCGATTATCTTCTGTTTTTTCGT